GAGAGAGAGAGAGAGTCTTGAAGTGAGAGAATTAGTGTTTTGAGAGGGAGAGAGTACAGAGATAAACTGACAGGAGGTTGGTTCATCTTGGAGAGCTCAAAATAATGGTCTTTGAGAGAGCGGAGTAAGAGAAATTTGATTGCTGCTGCAGAAGAAGAAGAGATCTTCTGTGTTTTATGTTGATTCAGTCAACAGCATGTGCAGCTCAAGTCAGTGAATATCAAATCGTTTTTGTTTTATTGAGAGAACTAAATAAATTTTGCCTTAATTTTTATGTAACATATAGAAATTTCTTAAGATATTTGGTCTGTTTAGTTTTCTAAGATTAGCCTGGGATCTTTGTAATGGTAACTAATCTCTTTCAATATTTTTCAAATAGTCTAGGTTTAGATTATTGCGGGAAGATATGGATTATTTCTCATCCTTAAAATACATGATTCCTTGTATTGATCATGCGACTATGTCTTCTTTAAAAGAGGTTTCCTAGTTCCTCTTTTTATTTTAGTTTTTATGTAAGTATTTGATCGGAACCATGAACCTCCATTGATTTTGGAGCAGTGGTTCGATTGGGTTTATGATCTGCTCAACCGACGGCCCACCTGTTGATTTCTTGAATCCGGTAAATCCTATTGAGAAGCAGGATGCTAGAAAATCTCAAAGGGAGCTCAAATTCTACAATACAGAGGTATTCTCTTCATTTCTTTTGTAGTTTTACCTAATTCGGCATTATCATCATCGTATCATTACTTTGTTGATTCGTCTGGGTAGTTGAACCCAATTTTTTTTAAAGCTCTCTGTTTCACTGGATTCAGACTGTGAACTACCTCAAATTTTCGTATCTGAAATATCCAGTTATTCTTTCCTTGAAATGAAGTGATATTGTGAAAATGGCCAACAGACTCCTTATTCTCCTTGTACAAAGATGTTGCCTCATCATTATAGGGAGAAAGAAGGATTGTTGTCCTCTTGTTTGAGTATTAGTCAGGGCACATGTATGTTTGTCTTTATAGGTTGGGGTTCATAAATTACACGTTTGAGGTTATTTGGGCTAATTCTTTTGAACAACTTCTTTGGGGTATGTTTCCCATTGGCTGATAATATTTCTGCAGTCTGGTTGCCTGCTGTACTAAATTAGTGTTGCTGAATCTTTATGTTTCCATTTTGTGGAAAGTTATTTGACTTATTATTAAAAATATCATGTGACCCCAAATAGTTGGGAAAAAGGCTCGGCTGATGATGATGAATCCTTTTTTTTTAGGGGGTAGTTGAAGTAATTCTTTTCTGTTAACAGATGTTTGAAAACCAGCCTGCTCTTTATGACTTCTAAGGAAGGTTGGAGTGTTTCATATGCTTCTAAAAATGTCCAATGTATCCCACTCAATATCGCTGCCTCTTTTAAGTTTTTGGATGATACCTTGCCTTTTCTTTTTTCCATGAAAATAAACCTCATTATCGAAACTTTCTGAAAAATGTTCTAATCAATGTGCCTGCCTCTTGATAGGTTTTAAGCAACACCTTGCTTCTTTTTGGCATGTGAATCACCTTATACTTGAAAGTGACTCCTATGCCTTTTGATTTGTATAATTGAGGGAAAGAATCCAGGGTATTTGGTTTTCATTAAATTCCCTGAAATTATTGAATCTCAAGAGGTGAATATTTTGAAAATTTAATATAAAATTCCTGTGGCGAAGCTATTCAGATCTTGGGAACTAAAACGTGCTCTGCTTTGGACAAAATTGTGGGTTCAAAAGTCCCTCCCCAGGAGGGGCACTTGTGAAAAACTGTAGCTATCCTTGTATAAGGGTGGTTGGTAACTAAGGAGAGTTTTCAGTCTTATTTCATATATGTGGGTTGTCAAACAAAATATGAAACAGGTTTGACGGAAAAGTTTCAGAAGAAAGTTAAGTTCCGTAGAAAACTTACTAATGTAAAATAGCAAGAACATGTGAGACATGCCTTTGAATTAGTTACCCTCCTGGGAATGAATTCATGGCAGTTTTAGTCAACTTTCTTAATTGGGATTGTTGAACATTCATTTATCTGTGGTGTCGAAATTTTTAGCCAACCAAGCTAATTAGTTTTTATTTTTTTTTGAAAAAGAAACCTTTTTTGAGATATATCTAATATTTTGCATGCTCAATTTGTTCCGCAACTTTCTTGAAGTGTGACAATGAATTAGAAAGGTACACCATGTTGTTTCTCTTCAATGACTAAACAATTACATCACATTGTCTCTTTGCATCATTTATAAACATGTCTCTTGCTGACTTTGGATAATCTAAAAATATATTCAACAGCTTCCGACTGTCTGAATTTTTTCTTGGTTGGGTTACTCATCTTCCAACTTCCTACCACTTGTAAAGGCTTTGCAAAGAAGGCTAGTTCCTTCATTGTGGATCCTGTGTAGGTTTATTTTGACCATTTTGTCCATACTTTTATGAGATTTTATTTTGATTGGCTTAGCAAATCAAAGTTCCCCAAGTTTGACACTTCTTTTGGAATTTAATGAAAGAAATGAGTTCATCTAAATATTTATTTTTTTCAGTGATTAATTGCGTTAACTTGAAAGTTGCTATTGTATTTGTTTAACATTTTTAGTTGTTTTATAAATCATTACATACCTTGTAAGGTGTCTCTCGTTCTAACCATTCTGTGGTTTATGCTATTTTCATGAAGAAGATATTGTTTGATTGTTTTTAATGTCGGCTTCCGTTTTGATTGTGGTTTCCATGACTGAAACAGATGCACAAGGCAGCATTTGCATTGCCATCCTTTGCCAAGAAGGAGCTGAACAAATTTCTTACCCCTCAAACAGTGAAGGTAATATGAGTTGGAGCGTCTTCTGACATTTCTACTCGTAATTGCTTGATAGAATGGAGTGCTAGGGTTGTCCAATGACAATATGAGTTTGACTGTTTCTTGTGACATTTTCTACTTTTTTTCTTCATTTCCTAATAACGGCAATGGATACTCCTTTCCACTAAATGTATTATGAGGGATTTGAAATATGTGGTTTATTTATAGAAGAAAATGATTTGATAGGGCTTTATCCCTATCAAAATAAGTAAAGCCTCCCTACAAAACTAACCAAAAATTATAGTTCTGGCTCTAAAAAGCCTTCAAATCGATCATCTACTATTATGTTTGTAAGTAAAAAAGGATTTTAAAACCTAAAAATAGTGTATATTATAGTACATTATCTAGACCATTTTGCCATAAAATTAAATATTTATGGATCTGCAAGATTTGTATTGCTTTTTGAGCTTCAAGTTTCATGGTTGATGTTGGAAATTGATTTTGGAGCCAACATGGGTATTTCTGATGTCCTTGGACAAGGATTCGAGGTGAGGATTTATTTTGTTTTCATAAAGCCTAGGCCTTAATGAAATTGCATCCATTTATAAATGGAGTGATAGATAGGGTAATAATAGTGAGTTTGCCGTTTGCCTGCCGTGAAATTTCTAGATTTTCTTTTCTAAAAGATGAAAGTTTTATTTGAACCCCATTTAAAATATATTGTAAGCTATATTACTTAATGCTAATCATGTTGACGGAGGCCATGTACCGCGACGTCTCTCTCACTCATACAAAAACTGCTGATTGCTGTGTAAGGGGAAGATCATTGTTGACAAGTTGGGAAATAATAGATATAAAAAAAGTCGACATACTGGTAATAAAGCGGGTTTTGTTCTAACAAATAAAAGGGAAAAATTGGGTCAAGTGCATGGATCATAAAAAATTAGGTAAGTTTAAGAATAGTGAAGATTTCAAATATGATTGGAAAGAATAGATTGAAAATATTGGATATGTTAGGATGATACAAGGTAAAATTATGAGTTGTAGCTATGGCCCAAATAAGGCCCGGCTCATTCAGCACTTATTTTTTTCACTCTTCAAAATTTTAATATTTGTAGTAAGGTAAAAATAAAATAAAAATAAATACATGCTATAATCTTACGGCTATGAAATTGGACGGTTTTTTTATGGGTGCATATTGAGATTTTGCCCAAAAAAGAAACCCATTATTTTGGTTATCCCCTTCCTATATTTTACCACCTAGAGAGAGAGAAACGCAGCTTGACAAAAGTGTCAGCCTTCCGAAAAAATGTCCAACGGGCCATCATGGCTAGATAAGCCCGTAATGCATCTCCTAGGTCCAATAAGCTATGGCCGAAGTAAGGCCGGGCTCATTTAGCACTTTTTTTTTTTTTCACTCTTGAAAATTTTAATATTAGTAGCTAGGTAAAAAATAAAATAAAAATAAATACATGCTTTAATGTCACAGCTATGAAATAGGACGGTTTTTTATCGGTGCATATTGAAATTTTGCCCAAAAAGGAAACCCATTTATTTTGGTATCCCCTTCCTATATTTAAGGACCTACATAGAAAGAAACGCAGCTCAAGGAAGTGTTAGCCCTTCTATTTCCCCTCCATTGAGACCCATTTCAAATGGAGAGAGACCCGTTTCAAATGGTGAGAGAGAGAGACCCTTTTACTTGTGGAGAGAGAGACCCAAATGGAGAGAAAGATATCTATTTCAAATTGAGAGAGAGACCCGCTGGGTGCTAGCATCAAAGCATTTGCATGTCATTTGAGTAAACCTTCAATCTCTCTCTAAAAACCCTCAATCTCTCTTTCTCTCTAAAAACTCTATCTAGAAACTCAATCTCTCTTTAAAAACTCTTTCGTCATATAGAAATCCAATATTTATTTCTCTCTAAGAACTCTCTCTTTCTAGAAATCTAATCTCTCTTTTTCTTTCTAGAAACTTATTCTCTCTCGCTCTCTCTAAATACTTATTCTCTCTCTCTCTCAATATCTTTCTAAAATCTTAATTGGAGTTTTAAATTTTCTAAAAAAAATAAAATTAGCAATTTTTTCTTTACAAGTCAAGAGAAAGATCAAAAAGGGGAAAAAATGTCGGGCCTGAGTTGGACCGGGCTGGGCCCAACAGAGTTAATGGGCTTTCCTTGGCCAAGCCTTATTTGTCAACGAGGGTTTTACATTTTTTAAAAATTAATTAGCAACTTTTTTTTTTACATGTAAAGTTGGAGGAGAAATATATATATTTTTTAAAAGGTCGGGCCTGAAATGGGCCCGGCAAGGCCTAATGGGCCATGCCTTATTTGTCAATGGGGCTATTAAATTTCCTAAAAATAAAATTAGCAATTTTTTTCCTTACAAAAAAAGTTTGAAGGGAAGTTTTTTTTAAAAAATAGCGACCGGGCTTGAGTTGGCTTGGGCTAGGCCCAATAGGCTTAATGGGCCAAGCCTTATTTGTCAGTAGGGGTTTTAAATTTTCTAAAAGATAAAACAAAGGCTCGAGTTGCGCTGGGCCAGGCCAATAGGCCTAACGGACCTTTTCTAGGTCGGGTTGGGCTCTGTATAAAACATTCCAGGCCTAACGGGGCTTATCGGGCGGGCCCGAGCTTATGTGCATTTTCCAGGCTTTTACAGACTGGGCCTTAACAGGTCTATTTACGGGCTGGGCCTAGGCAATCCGGGGCTCCGGGCTGGCTGGATCGGGCCTTGCCCATTGGCAACCCTACTTGTAATGAACATTATGTATAAGCAAAACCAGTGTTCGAAAAATCGAACCGGAACGGTTAACCGGATATGGGCCGGGAAGCGATTTAACTGGTCTAACCGGTAAACCGGCCGATTCAACTGCTCTAACCGGGCAAGTCCCGAACGATGAAAAAAGTGTTGAAAAAAATAAAAAAGGTACAAAAAAAAATCTACTAAAATATGAAAAGCATATAAAGAATGTGATTAAAACAAAATACACTCAAATGAAGTTGAAAATTATTGAAAAAAATAGATTTTAACAAATCGATTTGTGCCTAATGGTATAGTAAATTTTTTGAACTTCTTACCAATATATGAATTCTTAGAATTGTTAAAATTACAAATTATTTCTTTACAAGAACTTTCCAGTTCGATTCATGTGGGCAAGTAAATTTTTTGAACTTCTTACCAATGTAATGAATTCTTAGAATTGTTAAAATGAACCACAAGTAAATTTTTTGAACTTCTTACCAATGTAATGAATTCTTAGAATTGTTAAAATGAACCACAAGTAAATTTTTTGAACTTCTTACCAATGTAATAAATTCTTGAATTCTTAGAATTGTTAAAATGAACTGATGGTGGGATTCGAACGAATCACCAGTGCTAACCAATACACTATTCTAAAATATTTAATATAAATGTAAATTAGTATTCTATTTAAACTTTAAAAAATATGTTGATCACCAAAACCACCCAAAATCAAAACTGGCCAGTGGCCGATTCCAATCTAACAGGGCGGTTAGTGATTACATCGGCCAGTTTTGCGAACACTCAAATATATAAACCTCGTGGCAAATTCTTTTTTTTTATTGCGTCAACGAGAGTGGAGTTCGAGACTTCATTTGGGCCATCAACGATACTGGCCCAGCCCAATCTCACCTCATCCCCGAATTCCTGGTTAAATAAATTGTGGTTATGATTGAATTTCTCCTTTGTTCTTTATAAATATGCCCTTGGTTTAAAGAAAAATATTCATTGGGTTAAGCTTTCTATAACTCTACATTTTTAGATATATGGTTGCTTTGAGAGAGTATTTTTTTATTAATACAAATTTTTAAGAGAATTTGTTGGTGAAATTTTTTTATCAATTTTTCTTGTTAAATCAAGATTATTAATTTAATCTCACTTTCAATGCTATTATTCTAAAACCAATACTCAAGATATCAAATTTAAAAAAAATAATGGAAGTCTCAATAAAGTTACGAGGAAGAAGCTATTTTAAGAAAAAGAAAAAGTTTAGAATTTATATTGGTTCTATTTAATTGAATTTTTTTTTTAAAGATTTTTTGAAAAACTTGAAGTTCTTAACCGTTTTGAAAAAATTTATTATTTTTTAAATATGTTTTTATTAGACTTGTAAGAAGATTACGCACTACTCAAGATGGTGGAGCCTGCTGGAGATAGGGGAAGACCAACTACTACTTCAAATCATGGTTTGAAAATCTTCACTAATGTTCAGAAAATCGACTTGGCCAAGGTTCTTGGGCCTTGGCCGAGGCGATTTACTCAGACGAGTCTTGTATTTTTGGAGCTCTTTTAAAAAAAAATCTTACGTCTCGAAATGTACGCACACTCTAACAAAAGTGACATTTACTTTTGTAATAAATTAAATATAATTCATCTTGATAATTTCTCTTGTTCACTAAAAAAAAATGTTTCTCGGACAAAAATTTCATCCAACTACATGTATACATTCAGTAAAGCAAAACGTAAAAAAGAACTAGGAAAAACTGAGTGATAGTGGAGGTAAGGGTCTTCTTGGGTCTCGCTCTTAGAATGACGGCCTCAGCAAAAAATCAGTGACAATGAGGGAGCACTCCCTATCCCGGTTGTGCCCCACTGCCAATCTGGAGCATTCAATAAACTGATCTCAAGCTATAATCCCTAAGACTTGTCCCACCCTCAGGCTCCCTTCCAGTCGGATTGTCTCCCTCACCAGCGTCGCCTTGTTCCTCAGCACCTTGATTATGTTGTTTGCCACAACACTAGCACAAATGCTAGTTGCGGCGCCACGAGATGGGCTATGATCCCTATAGTTATGTCTCTCTATCGCGTATGCATTTTGACCACCTCGGTCCCCCTCTTCAATGGTCCTTCCCCTAGCTTGTTCCTCAGTGCTCCCCCCCCTCTCTCTCTCCTGCATCTCTTCTTGCATGTCCTCCTGGCTGTTCCCCAAGGCTTCTACATCATCATCTAGATCTCGAACTTGTTATTCTAAATGCTTCGTGTTCACTGTTGGTGGCTGCCCCTCCCATTGCTCCTCCTCTTCTACCCATTCCTCTGTAAGGTCCTCTGGGAATATGTGGTTCTGTTTAATTGGGTTGTAACTTGCGGGTTCTCTTTCTAGCATCCTCTGCCTTAGGTTGAGATTATCGTGTACATAAACCAGCTAGTGCAGCCTCTCTATCTTCAACATGTTCCTTGTTAGGGTATGAATCAACTGGAAGATGGAGGAACAAGTTTGGCTTAGGACCTTAATTGCAATCTTTTT